TAAGGCCAAAAATCCTGATTCTGAGGAAATTAAAGAGGTTACAAAGATGATCAGGAATTTGGAAAAGAAGGCTTCTAAAAACGCTGAACCAAAGCGTAGCACTAAGGAAGCTGTGAGACTGGCCACAAAAGGGGCCGACAAGGCTAGCAAAGCCGAGGCCAAAGAGGCCAAAAAGGCCAAAAAGGCCTACAAGGCCAAAGCTGCCAAATAAATCTGTATTGGCGGTTTTACCTCTTCCGGAGGGTAAATGAGGGATATAGTATTTTTCTAGTTTTCTAGGTTGACAAGGCAAAGATGGCAATTAGTACATGTAAGCTTTCTTTATAAATGCTTTTCCTGGCCTTTGTAGCTACTTGAACACGTCTAATAACGCCTGGCGTACTACTCTCCCGAGCCTCCAATAAGTCCAGGACTAGAAGTTTTAGTCGAAGGTTGAATAGGAGTAGCTGGTCAAGCTGGAGGAGACTGCCTTGGCTGGTTCCATGTATGTAAATTAATTAAAAAGGCTATATTACTAGCAAGCCTATTATTATATTAATCTATAAGAAATATCTTCCTGCCTACACCCGTAATAAAAAATAACCATGTAGAATCGGGCTTCTACGCCGGTAAACGGCAGCCGTGGAAGGATCTGGGCGGAGAGATTGCGCGTTTCCCTTCCGCCATTCATCTTGGACAGCGGCGTCCTCGTGTACGTGAAATGAGTGGGAGGCGACAAGGCCAAGAACAAAAGCGAGCCTGGGTGTCGTTGAAGAGTGCGAGTTGAGCGGCTCTCGCGCACGTATCGGTTGTCCTTCTGCCGGTAGTAGAGAAGTAGGAGACGGCTACGTCAGTGAGACTGTCGACTGGGCTGGGCTGCCGCTGAAGCATTGACACTGTCCATTGTCCCGTACATGTAGGGACTTTGGTCAGTCTGACCTTGACACCAAAAAAGAGAACCGACTGTACCTGCGTACACTCACTGGTCTGTCACAATCTGCCCTGATGCACGGAATGGAATTGAATCGGCCGGATAAAAAGATTGATTTGCATCCCTACAACCACGGCCACTATACATGACAAGACAAACACCATCCAAACTCCAAGTTTTCTTCCCAGACGCCCTGCGCAGCCTACTAAAACAACGAGTTATCTCCGCACGGAAACACACCTCCTATCTTGTTCTCCTTGTCGTTGAAAATGTCAACGAGTTGCCGAATCGCCGCCCACAGCCCCACCCCGTTCATGAAGAGAGCCTGGGCAATAAGCAAGGCATTCACAATGGCAAGGGGGATGTTCTTCCTATGGAACTTTTCCTGCCAGTTGCGGTGGTACCAAAAGACGCCGCTGATGCCAAAGGTGAACCACGCGATAAACGTGGCCGACGCAATGGACAGGATCGAGTCGAAGATGGGAATCGCGTCGGCAATGACAAACGACACTGTCCAGAACAGGGTCGCGCACGCGATCCAGGTGCCCCATGACTTGACCGATCTGTCGGTAAGCTGGTGCGTCGACTTCATGGCCCGCATGGCCACGACGTAGAGGTACTTGATGGCCGTGTGGCCAAAGACGAGCCCCGTGGAGAGAATGGCCGGCAGGACGATGCCGTACGCGATCTTGGCCGGGATGGTGGGCGCGGATCCCAGCGCCGGCGACGTCGTGTACTGGCCAGACAGGCAGTATATGACGACGGCCGTGATGAGGTACAGGACGACGGAAAAGACCTGCAGGACCGTGAGCGCGGGGACGAAGTCTTTGCTCGGGTTCTTCATCTCGGCCATGTACGACACGAAGCCGACGTTTCCAGCGTACGCGTAGCACACCTTGAGAACGGCGTTGACGCCGTCGGTAAAGGACGGGTCGCCAACAATCTTGAGCGTCTTTTCGAACCCGGGTGGCGCATTCTTAGGCGGCGACATGCCGAGGCTGATGATGACGATGAGGACCGCCGCAATGATGCTGATGGTGGAGGGAAGGCCGACCTGGGCCACGAATTTGAACTTTCGAGGCAGGCACAGCAGCCAGCAGGCAATGGCCGCAATGCCGGCAAACCCAACGGTGCAAAGCCCGTGGTTGGAAATCGTGTTGAGCGCAATGGAGATGGTGATGGTGGCCGAGCCGCACGTGAAGCAGATCTTGATGAGGAGACAAATGCCGAAGACGACCTCGAAGGGCACGCCGCCAATCACGCGCGCCATGTCAGCCATGTTGACAACATGGGGGTGTTTGCGGTAAAACTGGAGGAGTTCATAGGCAGTGTACCACGAGACGACGCCGAGCCCTATAATGGTGATGACGGCGGGGACGATGCCCAAGACGTCGAGAATCTTGGGAAGAGACAAAATGCCCAGGCCGACCTGGTTGGACGCGAGCACGAGAGCAGTGTCCCAGCGGCCCATGGTTCTGTAGTTTTTGCCGCCTTCGCTGAAGATGTTGGCCGCCTGCTCACCGTCGTCGACCAGGACGGCGTCGCGCGCCACCGAGGCATCTTCTTCGCGGGTGCTGCCCTTTTCCTTTTCGTTTTGATCATCGTACACCGGCTCCCGCGGCTCCTTTTCGCCTTTGAGGTTGAGAAACTTCATGCTTCTTTGCTGCTTGCTGTCCTGTTCTGAAAATGTTGGTCCAACAATGCTCCCCACGACCGAGGACGCTTTACTGCCTTGCGTGAACCGAGTGGCAAGCCAAACACAATCAGAGCAATGATGGAGACGAGCTTCTTTACACAGGCGGATAAAAGAAGAAGGAAGTTGGCACTAAGCGAGGAGCAGAAGAGGACAAGAAGTAGAGCCTTCTATAGTCGGGTTCAAAAGATTTAGCTCTGCGTCGGCGAAAAACGTGTCCATCTAGTCCCGTGGGGAAGACACGAATTCGACCCTGAGAATGTGGATCGCCCGTCTGCTATCAGCGAGAATGTCAGCCAATTTCAGCAGTATATTTCCAACAAGTGGCTGTCTCCTGCCCGGAGCCGCAGTTTCGGCCTTTGGCCGTCGGGTTTCTCCAGATCAGCCAAGAAACAGCAACACAAACGAAATGCAAGTCGCCTTCCAGATAGGGGTCCCCCTGGCCACCAACCCCTCCTTTTCTCTTCTTCCTCCCGCATTGTGAAAGCTTCTCTCTCTTGCTGGGTACCCCCGTACCTGGTTCCGTGGGGTTAGCAAGCGAGGCAACGGTCATGTTTAGTGCAAGCCCATCCCGTGGTGCAAAAAGTTTGAGCCATCATAAGCTCAGTCAAGTGGGGATGGGTGGAACTGTAACTGGAACTGACATTTACTACTGTACATATCTGGATGTCTGCCCCCCGTCGCGCAGTTCTCTCCGGGCACAGTTTGACGCTGGATAGTGAGAACCTCCGTAGTCCGCATTTGATGAATATAGTAGGACATTTTATTCCCTCTTGGGCCTCTTGACCGCCATCCCGAACCCATAAGCTTCGAAAGATTGCCGCCGCTATGCTTATTTCAGGGTGGCGTTGGCGGATCCCGACGCCTCCATCTCAGTTTGACGTTTGTACGTACGTATGTAGTAATGGCGCGGCCAAGGACTTTGCTACTACAAATGCACCTGGTCCTTCAGGGTTTTCCGCTGTATGCTGGTGGGTCGATGCTGGTCCAAAATTTCCATGCCCGGCCCTTATCATGGTATCCCTCACGGCAAATGGGTGCGAGTCAAGGTTCCAAACATTGTTTTCAGCGTTTAGCTCGGCACGCGCATAAGCATTACCGAGACAGGCGTGGCGATTGAAAAGCGCACAATGCTAGGCCTGCGAGTCTGGGGGAATTCGGCCATCAAGGAAATAGAAATCGAAGCTTTTCCATTGCATGGTAAAGGTCTGTGGTCGTCTGCCAAGCCCATCTCCACCTCGTCGCTACCTTGAGCTGATTCATGTGCTCTGGCCCAGTGGAGCGGTAACATCTCAAAGAACAGATGTCGTCAACGTCGGAGGCCGTCGGGGATCATCACAGCTGCACCAAACAGTTAGTAATTACATACTGTTGTCTCCCCGCATCTCTACCGCCTTTGAACAGACCAAAATATGGGTGGATAATATCTCACCCACAGTTCGTGGAGCGCGTAATCGCTACCCCTTGGCGAGACTTTGTTCGTCGTACGTAATACGTCTATTGACTTGGACAAACTCTTTGCCATGATTCGTTTGCCCACAATTCACACGACCGCGTATCCACGTCATTTCGTCCAGTTGTACCGTCTTGAGGGTTAAGAGGATCCTGGATCGGCTTCGGGTGTTGTCCATCAAGGTGGAATGCCTTGCTGTATTACGGTGGCCCTCAAAATGTACGATACGCACCTGTCACGTCCTTTGCGCCCGTACGGAGACGGGGCAAAAAGGAAAGGAAAGATTTCGCCGAGCTTGTCCTTTCGGCTTGCCTCAGTACCGCAGCGAAATGAAAAAACCAGCCGTCGAAATTGGATGCTAGGTGACTTGTTTCTTGAAACCGCACTGCATAGATCGATTTGTCCTGGAGCGTGTTCAAACTTGACACAATCTTCAGCTCTCTTATTGACTGGATCGGAAGCAATGGCGCAGCGATAGAATTCGAGCGACGGCAGAACTAGAAGCCAAAATAGCGCCATCAGACAACGAACCTCATACTCGTCTTCCGTACACTATGGCAATTAGCATGTACCACTTGATGGCAAATATAGAGGACATTCGGCGTTAACTTTTTCAACCTTGGGTAGGCAGCACGCCAACTTCAGCTTCGTGCTGATGCCCTGCTATCCGCAGAGACTGTATCGCTCCATGAGCAAGTTTGCGATCTTGGCGATTTTCAAGCCTTGGATGGCGTCCTTGATTCGAATACCGGCTCATCTTCAACGAATTTGTCGGAGCGGGTTGTAAACCTGGACACTGCCCAGCGTTATCTTGGTCAAATTGCAGCGTTGTTGTTGTTGATGTTGTTGTTTCGTATGTGCTGTCAAACGCACATTAAAGCGGGCTCGAAAGAAGAAACAGGAATCCCACAAGGGTTCAGGCCAAGGTCCTCTTCTGCAAGTACCAACCGCAGGTTGACAGGCCACAACTTTCATCCTCTTGTTCGTGTCTAGCCCCCGCCAGGAGTCAAAACTTCCTCGTCCAGTTCGTCGTGTTGAGACGAAAGCATTCCCCTCTGTCGTAATCGAACCTATGTTAGCTCAACATACTTGGTGCATACAACAAGGACCCCGGGCACGCGTGTGAGACCGCAGCCTCAATCGTCATCCAGCCCA